GTGTGGTGTGTGTGTGGCCAGCTCAGCCCACCAGGGGGCGGGCCTGGCTGGCATGTGGTGCTGGGGGATTGAACCGTGGTCCCCGATGCTTTGCCAAGCTTGTTCTAAGTAGGTGCTTTAGACCACTGAGCCATCTCTCCAGCCCCTGAACCATATTTCTGATGGAGAGATAAACACATCAAAGATGACCAAGAACACAAGAGCCCATCTGTAGGACATGACAAAACACTGACAATGAGTAGCACAGGTGCTTATTTACATAGATATTTGAGCTTAAAGACTACCCATGAGGTTTACATATACATGTGTGCACACAAGTGCATCCAATGGGTCTGCATGCATTTTTGTGTTCTTTTACACTATCTTCACTCTTCATCTTCTCCATGATGTCTGCCATCTGGGTGACTGGTTCTCTTAGCCACAGGAGGGTACTGGCCTGCAAACTGAGGTTATGGCTACGACGGTAACAATGACTGCTACCTCAGACTGCCATAGAAGCATTCTAAAATGAAAGGCTTCTAGGGCAAAATAAATAAGCAGGGTGGATAGGCATACAGCTAGCCTGTCTCATTCTGTCCTTGTGCTTCCGTATTCCTCTGCCATGCTGAGTTTAGAGTGAAGGATTCCTTGAACTTAGCAAGAGTTGGGCTTTGGAATCATTTCCACGTGTACTGTTCCTGGGTTTTGTGTTTTCTGGCTACTGGCCAAACTGAGTGCAGGAGCAGAGGATCCTTCTCTGGAAATTAGCTGTTCTTCTCTCACATGGGCTGTTATCTGGGGTCTGGTGTCACACAATGAAGAGACAAGTGTCATACAGATAATGCATCACTCCCACTTCAGATTTAACTAAGTTAACTCACAGCTGGCTTAATTCTTTTTTTTTTTTTTGGCAGAACCGGGGATTGAACTCAGAGTTGACTTAATTCTTGAAAAAGCTTTAGTGACAAATTCATGAAAGAAGTCCCATGAATGAACACTAAGTCCAAGTAGGCTCAGCTCTGCCAAAAGAAATGCCTTTAAAGGCACTTATCTCTTGATACAGATGGCTTTGTATTCTAGGAAACTTTCTGGGGCATGATGGCATTTCCTTGTGCCATTTAATCTAGGAAGATATTGATTAACTATTAACATGACAGCAGAGGTTCTTCTCTTTCTTTTCTCCTCTACAGGTCTATGTTCCCTTCATTAATAGCAATTCCCTATGGAAAGGATTTTTAAGCTTGGGGAGGGAGGGCAAGAGGAAAGCACAGTGAGACAGAGATTAGGACCTGTACAGATGACAGAGAAATATCATCCCACATACTTTACTGATATAGTTTCCATATCAATGCAGATGATTTTTAATATCTGCCAATGCCAAGTTATCTTTCATTATTTTCTTTCCAATATTTTCTTAAAAGTTTTCTTTGACATTTTTTCTTCCATACAAATTATACCTTCCTTTTCAGAAAAACAGCATAGTTTTTTTCTTTTTTAAAAAAAATTTTTTTTTTTTGGTTTATTTATTTATTTATTTAGTGTGCGTGGCCAGTTCATCCCACCAGGGGGCAGGGCTGGCTGGCATATGGTGCTGGGGTATTGAACCGCGGTCCCTGTGCTTTGCTTAGCTTAGCTTGTTCTAAGTAGGTGCTTTAGACCACTGAGCCATCTCAACAGCCCCAGCATAGTTTTTTCTTAAAAAAGAGTTAGTCTGTCAAGATCTTTCAATGATCCTGATCAACTTATCTGCAAATGAGGCTAATTTTGTTTCTTTTCCATATATTAACCAACTGTTTCACTTTTTTATCCTACTACAACCTACCAATGATTTTCCTATGTTTGCTATGAATTTTTAGAAGATAGATTTTATTACATTTGAACAGTTTTCTTCTGTTTGGGTGTACTGTTTATTTTATAAAGGCTTATGTGTTATTACCCTTCATATATTACACCTTTTATTATAAAATGTCCTTCTTTAGCCTGTGTAATGCTTTTGACCTTAACTTCTGCTTGGTTTGATATTAACACTGCATTATATTAAAATTCTTGCTTCTTTCTGTTTGATCTACCTTGAATATTTTGATCATTTCTTTATTGTCTACTTTCCTTAATCACAGTATTTTAGAAGTTGTGTCAGAAACTATCAGTCACCTACACTGTTTTACCAAATGCACATAGCAGCATTATACTTCTACTATGCCTTTGAAGATAGGTGTCACTCTGATCAATAAAATAAGTTAAAATGAAGTATGTTATTTCTGAGTGGATACTTCAAGAACTAGTGTAATTTATCACATTGCCTTTTTCCTGCTGTCACAATACTGGGAACAAAAAGACAGGGCCTTCCTCAGTCTAGATCCATGAATCAGGATCGGAGTTATGCTGTCTAACACAGTAGCTCTTTATAACAGGAAGCTACTGAGCACATGAAGTATAGCTAGCCCAAATTAAGATGCACTTTAAGTGTAAAACTCACATCAAATTTCAACATACTAGTAAGAAAAAAAGAACATACAATATGCCACTAATAATTTTTCTATTAAGCTTGAAATATTTTGAATATATTGGGTTAAATTACGAAGATTAATCTTACATTTAAAAATATATTTTTAAAATTAACTAATTTATTTGACACAGGGTCTTGCTATGTAGCTTGGACTCATAGTGATCCTGTGATCCTCCTGTCTCAGCATCCCCAGAGCAGGGATTACAAGTGTGTGCCATCATGCCCAGTTTTGGGGCCAACACGGTGGGCCTGGGTTCCTGGGCCAGCACAGCATGCAGTACCAGGGATCAAACTTAGGATCTTATGCTTGCCAAGCAGGCACTTAGACCACTGAGTATCTCCCCAGCCCTAAAAGTATTCTTGTGCTAGGTTTTGAAGTTGTTATTGAAGTGTAAACCAAGCTCCTACTGACTAGCAGATCTACTTATTAGTCATTCCTCTCCTTTGTGAAAGATCTCCGATTTTGTTGGGAGTAGGAATATTCTGAACTAAATTCTTCCCTTTCAGTGTCACCCCCCTGCCACCCCAGTAGCCATATGAGGAAGTTCGAGGGAGATAGCTCAATTGAGTAAGTGTTTGCCTGGCAAATGCAAGGTCCTGAGTTTGATCCTTGGTACAAAAAAAAAAAAGCACCAGCCCCGCCCCCAGGGCATGCTGAGACAGGGATTGAGACTGGGCATGGTGGAGCCTGCCTGAAATCCCAGCACTTGGGAAGCTGTAAATAGGAGAATCACCATGAGTCCGATCTAACTGTGAGACCCTGAACACACTGTAGACCCTTCCCTAAAATACAGAAAAAAAAAAAAAAAGAAAAAGAAAAAAGAAAAAAGAAATAACACATAAGCACAAGTCTCTTGGAATTTCTGTAAAAGCACTGACTTTCCATCAATGAACAAACATTATAGATGCAACCTCCTCTCTTCTTGTGAATATAGGACTGATTTCTGAAGCTGTGACTTTTGACAGATTATACATAAAACATGAAGAGGAATACAAACATACCAAAGATGGTAGATGGGAGGATATAAACATAGAAAAGGGACATAAGTAATCTAAAGGAATCCTAGCACATGCCTGAATTAGGCAGTTTTTGTTTATTTTGTTTTGTGATACCAGAAGTCAAACCTAGGACCTTACATATGCTAGGCAAATGCTTTACCATAAGCTATAGCCCCAGCCCTTCTATTAATTTTTATTTTGAGATAGTATCACAAAAAGTTGCCCAGTCTGGCCGAAGGTTTGCAATTTTCCTGTCTCTATCTTCCAAAGGCTGGGATTACCAATGTGCACCACCACATCCAGGTATGACTCACACTTTTTAGCTGAGGAAAATAATCCCTCATTTGTTTAAGCTACCATCAGTTTTCTTTTATTTGCTGCCAAAATCATTCCTATTTGATGATGCGTATATTCTTAGAAATAGCATATACCTCAATGAAATCAATCTGATAGTCTTGGACTTTGGTTAGTAGAATTTGGTTCATCAAACTTGGTCTTCTGCCTATTTCATTTGAGGAGTAGTAGACTGATTCCAGAGATTTTGGATTGAGCTACATTCCCAACCTATTTTTATTTTTATTTTGTAATGGGACCTCATGGGATCACAGGCATGTGCCATCATGCCTGGCTGTTTTAATCTCTATACTTAATGTTACAATTACCATTTATTTGTCATTTGTTTTTATTTACTTTCCTTAATTTTGACAATTTTCTCACTTTTCTGTTTATTTTTCCTTTCTACTATGAATTTTGAGTATGTATTTTTCAGTTCGGGCCAGGGACATAGCTCAGCAGTCACAAGCACCTGCTTGGCAAGCATACGGTACCAAGTTCAATCCCTAGTACCACAAAAACAAAACCAAAAAGAGAAAGATTTTGCAGTTGGGCTACTTGTTACAGTTCTCTATTCTTTAATCATTTTTATTCCTGCACTTCCTAAGGTTTATCAAAACACCAATCTCACCAAGATTTTAATTTTTGGCCGCTCTCTGAAACATTACATGTCTGAAAATACATTTCTTTTGCCTCAACAGATAAAGGCTGGCTTAATTACAAAATGTTTGCTTTGTTTTTTTTTTCCCAGTATCCTGTAAACATTTTTTCATGGTATTCTGGCTTTTTAGGGTTGCTAATGAGAAGTTGGACATTAATATAATTGTTTTCTTTGAAAATAATTTATTCTGGTAACTTGTAAGGTTTTCTCTTTATCTTTACATTTCAGAATTTCAACAGCATATATCTAGGAATGTGCTCTATGCACCATCCAATAATCCTTCTGTAGACTTGGTAAATTCTTTCAATGTGTAGCTTCTAGCTTTTTCAACTTAAATTTCTTTTCTTTTCTTTTTTCTCTTTCAGTCAAATGTTCTGCCCCTGAGCTATACCCCTTTTTCTGCTTCTGAAATTTCTACCATTTGTACACTTGGTCTCGTATATGCTTTCTCCCTGCATCACAATTTCCATCTTTGTGTTTCTGGTCTGAATTCTAAGATATTTCTTCCACTTGCTTTTCCAGAATATTAATTCAGTTAATGTTAATTCAAGGACTATTTTTTTGTTCTCTCTCTCTCTCTCTTTTTGTCCTCCAAGCTTATTTACTGAATTCTTACATTTAGAAACCATCAGGGTTTTTTGTTTTTTTGTTTTTTTGTTTTTTTTTTTTTTTTTTTTTTTTTTTTTTTTTTTTTTTTGTGGAATCAGGGATTGAACTCAGGCCCTTGCGCTTGCCAGGGAAGCGCTTATTCCACTGCACCATCTCCCCAGTTCCAACCATGAGTTTTTAAAGTTCTACAAGTTACTTTTGTATTCAGCTGGTGTCCCAAGTAACCTGCCAAGCTCTCAACTACATCTTCCATTTACTTTTTCCCTAGGAGGAGTTTCGGATTCCTATTTTTCAACTTAGACTGTCTTATAATTGTGCAATATGATCATTTATGTTGGATGGAAACCATAGTTAACTATTAACTATGGTTAAATTATTTCACATTCATAATTATAAAATTTCAGTATAAAATCAATTTGCTTACATCAACATTTAGGCACATTTTTAAGATCATATTGCCAAATATTCCTCTGGACAGGTATAATTAATTAATGTTTTCACCAATAACTCATTTACATCATCTACTTTCTTTTCCACCACTCCATGCCAAATGCAAATACTGTATTTAAGGACACTTTGATAATTTGGTAGAAGGAAAAGAAAATTTGTTTTAATTTGCATTTGATTACTAACCATGCTGCCATTTTTCATGTTCTTAATTTTCTCATGTTTTTATATTTTTCATGTTCGACTAATTGCATTTATTTTGTAAATTATGTATTTATGTCCTTGGTTATTATTTTGGATATGTTATTTTATTTTTTCTTTATTAGTATGTGCTTGTACATATTGATCACATTCATCCCAAGGACTAGATACATGTTTAATTCTTTTTATTCCCTTTGCATTCCTTCCCTCCACCTCCCTCTCTTTGTGGGTCTCATTCCCATTTGCAAAAGATCTGTCTCCCTATTTATAGTTTTATGTCCTTAATCTTGACTATATTAATATCTTTTTCAATGATTTTTACCTGAAGTTTTATTTTGATAGATTAACATTATAACCTTGTTCTTTTTTATACTACGTTGGTATTTCTTTTTGCTTATCCTTTTTACGTTCTGAGTCACTTCGCTTCAGCTATGTCTATTAGATAGCATGGGGTGGATTCTGGTCTTTGATCTACTGTGACAGTATCACATTTTTTTATTTGTTATAACAAAAGAATATATAATGTGCACTATTTATTAAACAAATTCAAATTTGTTATACTTACTATGAGTTCTTTTACATGTTTTTATCTTTTTTTGTCTATTTCTGTGACTATTACTATTTTGTTTTTTTAATTCTCTATTTTATATATTTAATTCCACAGGAAAGTACATATATTCAAAGGAAAATGAGAAGTGACTCTTATAAGTCCCATCAAACAACTTATTTAGTTGTTAAATGCCTGAGACATCTGTTATTAAAACACATTGGTTTTTGTAATTTCAAATCTTTGCTGCCACTCTTTTTTTTTTTGGCAGAACCGGGGATTGAACTCAGGCCCTTGTGCTTGCCAGGGAAGCACTTATTCCACTGAGCCATCTCCCTGGCCCTTGTAATTTCAAATCTTTAAATGGCTGCATATATACTGTTACATACTCTTACCAGTGATATTTGTCAAGGACAGGACAAATGTGCCAGCGCTGTTGTTTAATGAACACACAATCCCCTATTAGCACTGACCTTCTGAAGCCCACCATTTTCCTCCACCAGTGGCGGAAGCACACTGGGGCTGCTGGATGGAGGACCCTCCACATTATAATCCCGGAAGCAGCAGAAGAAGGAACTAAGGATGCTGCGGCTTCTCTGCTTCTTTAAGCTGACATTGCACTGGGAAGCTGGAAAGAGAAACACAGCACACTGTGGCCAAATGCAGGATGTACTGATGAAATGCAAATATTAAGATGTACAATTGTCCCTTGTACATTAGGATGTACAATTGCCCTTGATTCCAGGAAGCCTGCTCAGGACTGAATGAGGGGCCCTTGGAGTCCAATTCAAGTGGCTGGACAAAATCTCCCTGCCTTCAGCCCAGTGAGGGCTGCTTACCTATTAGCTGAACCACTTTCACCATCTATACACCTGAAGCCAGCAGATGAAGTATTCCCACCATGCACTAAGCTTCTAAACAAACATCTTTCTAGGCATAAAACAGACCTGATGCTCCCTAAGAAGCACTTCTCTATTATGGGTATCAAGACACAGTCATCTTGAAATTAGGATAATGGATATTCACTGCTTACTGTAGAAATAATCACCTTCATAGATTAAAAAATAAAGTAAGTACAGGCACAAAGGAATCCTCTCCATAAACTCAGTCATTTGTCAGAAGTTGGTGAGATCTGGACCAACCAAGCTCTGGGTTGAAGGCTTCCATTCTCTTAAAGCAGAGAGAGCAGATGTGGCATAAAGCTTCGGCCTAGCAGGGCAAAGCCCATCTTCGTGAGACCCAGGGCAGTATTGTGCCCTGGCCTGCCCTGGACTAAAGTACTAGATAGTGATGAATTCTTTCTGTTTATCACTTAAGACAAGCTGCTACAAGTTAGAAATAAACAGTAAAAACTGGCATAGGTGGGAAACACCTCAGGGGAGGAGATGGCAACTTGGAGGATTAGAAGTATTTCACCTAGGAATGCAACTGGGGCCGTCTCACCACATACCATGGCTGGGTGGGTCAGCAGTGCTCTGAAAAGAGTCCACAGGCAAGGGACCATTCTAAGAGTTAATGGGAAAACTGACAATCAGGAAATGACTTAAGTCTACAAGATAACTGCTGGAACTTATCTTTCCCCAAAAGCAATACTGGCATGGTTTCTCTTTTTGTACACTTGTAAATGATTTGTGAGATAATAAAACATTTGTTAAAAAGTTTTCAGATTAGCTTGTGTAAACAGAAAAACCAAATACATTCATATGGAAAGTATGAAAATCATTTTTTCCAGCAACTCTGCATATATGGATGGTCTCTAGTCTGGGTTTGAGAAAGTATGAATTTAAGAACCTCACTCATTAAAGCCTACTAGTGGCCTAATTTTAGGGCCATGAGACCTGGTGGCCTGCCAACAGCAATGGTGGTAAGAGACAACCACCACTGTTGACCCAGGACCAAGCTCTAGGTACTTTGCTTTACAAGCTTCATTCTCATGTCATCTTTCCTCACGGCTATCCAAAGAGATACATGTTACTGCTTCTATATTACTGCAGAGAAGATACAAGCAGCAATTCCTAGTGCCAGGTTTCAAACTGAAGTGGACCTGTTCCCAAAATGTGTGATATCCCACGTGCCATGCTGATGACAATCCTGAAACAATTTAGATCTGATTAAGAAGGAAGGAGCATGCGAAATGGACAGAAAAACAGTGCAATAAACTTGTATTTAATATGAATGATTAATTACATACTATCATTGTTACTCTGGGAGTTTTATTTTATTCTATTTTATTTATTTATTTATTTATTTATTTATTTATTTATTTATTTATTTGCGGAACCAGGGATTGAACTCAGGCCCTTGCACTTGCCAGGCAAGCACTTACTCTACCGAACTATCTCTCCGGCCCCAGGAGTTTTAATTTTTATAGCACACTCAAATAATTTAGCCAAGGGTAGGGGAAAAAAAAGCAAAAACAAAAACACCCTGAATTTCCCCTGGCTGACAGCACATTTCTCTGCAAGTAAACAAACTGTTCTTGTCTTAGAGACACTGTGCAATCTGAAAAAAGCATTTTCCAAGATCCTATTTTCATCCTGGGTCACACAATCTTCCTCGTAACTAATATACTAAACTTATATACTAAAGAATTTATATACTTATATCCTAAAAAGCTTATATACTAAAAAAATTCCTGTACTTGAAACAAGTAAGCTACTTATTATTTCTACCATATAATACTTATTATAATCGAAGGTTCAAAAAGAGCTTGGGCAGCCAGTAAGTTAGCTTGAGTCACATGAAGACCATCACCACCAGAGAAATGGAAGCCAATCACATTTCCCCTTCTTCATACAGAGATAAAAAGGCTGCTGTGGTCTCCCTTCCACAGTGGTGGGAAGTTCAAAGTCTCTTTCTGATAAATGAGGTTTAGTTGCAGGTTCTGAAGGGACTTCTGTGAAGCCCCAGCCTTTCCAATGTTCTAATCATTTTTGGACTGGTCTGCCACTCCCAATATACTGCAGGGGGAGGAAATGGATTTCCTCAGGACAAGGATGAGCCCATACCATCCTCAGCATTCATTTTTAAACAGGGCTTAAGACATAGGCTGTTTGGGTCCAGAAACCTACCACTTTCCATCCTGAGGCTACCTCTCCACCAGGTATAATCCAGAAGGGTCTTGATTTGCTCATAAACTGCCAGAAGTTTTACGTGAAAAAACTAAGATCCATAGTTTAAAGGAAAAATATTTATGACATTAGCTCAAAAAACCTAGCGATGGTTGCACATGGATCTGACTTAATTATATCTAGGCAAAACAAGGTTAAAAAAAAGATTATCATTGGGAAAAACTGGCACAAGAAGTGTCAAACAGGAATTGTCAGATTATGAGTGTTCTATATTTTGTCTTTGCATATTTTCCAAATGTTTTATGGCAATTATGTAATTGATAATTTAACAGTAGGACAACCATAAATACCTTGTTAAAATTATTTATTTATTTATTTTTGTATTTGGCACAGGGTCTCACTACGTAGCTTGGACTCAGTGATCCTCCTGTTTTCAGCCTTCCCAGCACTGGAAGTACAGGCATGTGCCAACATGCCCGGACTTTTCACTTTTTTTTTTTTTTTTTAAACTTGGTGCAGGGTCTTGCTATACAGCTCAGACTCCTAGTGATCTTCTGGTCTCAACCTCCCCAGGGCTGAGATTACAGGCATGCACCACAACGTCCAGTTCTGACTGCCACTGCATGCGGTACCACGGATCAAACTCAAGATCTTATGCTTGCCAGGCACGCTCTAAGACTGCCAAACTATCTCCCCAGTCCCACCTTGTTAAATTTTTTTTCAGCAATTTTGCAACACAATCTCCTCACCTTCACCTTTCAGACTTATTCTATGCCTTTTTACTTCAAGCCCATGAAACAAACAAACCAAGCAACAAGTAGTATTTTAATTCTTGCAAGAAGTTTTTATGACCCACATGAAGTCTAGGGTACAAAGAACAAACCATCAACCTTAAAATCAGAGGACAGCCATCTGAGAAGTAGACACCAGGAGAGTGTCTCTCTGCTAGTAGTGTACCTGACCACCTAACCTTCCTGTGCACACAAATGTGCTTCTGTGTTCTCAAGACCTTTTCTTTTTATATGATTCCACTGAAAAAGTGGCCTTAAGAATATAGGATCAGTCTTTAAGGATATTAAAAATCATTCAAGACGTTTTTATTACATTGTTTTAAGAAATTATTTTGGAGGCTTTTGGGGAAATAGTGGAGTGGTAAACACCACCAACTCAACCACTCAAGAGATTCTGAATCTAGACAATTTGGGGAAGAACAAAAGGAGAAAAGTAGATCCTAGGAAATCAGAAAGGATCTGACAGAAAAATTTAAATATATATAGAAACTGAAGAGACAGAACACAGCACAGAGAAGAGAAGGGCCAATCTACACTTCCTCCTTGGCTCCTGGTTCATGGGAAAGGGAAGCTGAATCTACAGAGACAAAGTAAAAGCTGGGGACTCCACAGGGCTTTAGAAACATAGTGGTGGATAGGAGACCCACAGGCCTAGTGGGTGGTAGCAGTTCTCACACAGGTGGCTTCTACCCTTGGGCTAGATCACCTGAGTTTAGACCTTGTCCCCAGAAGTGGGCCACACTGTGTGCCCTCCTACCCCAGCTGTCATCTCAAACAAGCAGCCTGACTCACCTGGATGGTCTCATTGGACACAAGCTCTGTATGCCCTTGAATGCTCACCATGGGAAATTCTTTCCCTGAACATGCTGTAGGACACATGGTGCCTTTAGTGGCACCACTGACAGCCTTACTTCACTTGTTCTTCAGTCATAGCAGGGGCCCTGCCCCGTGGTGGGCCTCCATTCATGTTAGTGCTTCTTCCCTGTCTCTCCCCAAGTCTGTACTACCCCAAAGCAAATTTATGTGGTTGTGTCTTCCTTCACTATCCCAAGAATAATTGGACAGGAGTCTGCTCTTGGGTACTGGTTTGCAAGAGAATAGCAAAATAACTTTGCTGACCAGAGGCTTTTTATTGGAAGAGTGTTGGCACCTGTTTTCAATTATTGCACACAAAAAATTAATAATGTCCTTAGTCTTTGGGGATTGTGTCCTAAAAGTAGGGTCTATGGCTGGAGATGGGCTTGTTAACCAAGTAGTCACAAACTGGGAAACAGAGGGTAGGTGGGGATAGGAGTTGTGCTTGTTCACAATGATCAAGAGTGGTCACGATCCCTATGGAAATGTTTTATCCAGTTTTTACCATTACATTTTTATTTTCTTTTCCTCCCTCCTTTCTTTGATCTGTTTTACATCAGCTTTGTCTCTTACCTTTACCTAATTCTATAAACATTCTTTTACTTCTCAATTAGATCCTTTGTACCACTTCTCTTTCTTCTTATATCATATATAATGATACCTTGGTTCATGAGTGCTTTTGTTTGAAAACAATTTGGTTCATAAACAGAAGCATTTGGCAATTTTTTATTTTTTAACCCTGCAATGGGTGAACACGACTGTGGTCATCTTTCCCACATAAATATGAACATGGCTGTCTTTTCTAGAATTGTGAAAAAAAATAAGCTCATGAACTGAGGTACCACTATAGTTTAAAGTTTTGAATTCTTTCTCTTGCATTCGCCCATTCCTAAACTCTACATCTTTAACAA